GGGACCACACCGTGTTGGTGATCGCCCATCGGCTCAGCACAGTGGAGAAGGCAGACAACATTATTGTAATTGACAGGGGCCACGTGGCAGAACAGGGATCTCACAGTGAGCTGATGGCCAGCGGCGGACTCTACTCTAAGCTGGTTCAGCGGCAGGTCCTGGGCATCGAGACCGGGGAGGAGGACCTACACTCGCCACAAAACGCCAGCTGCAAGTCAGGTGGAGGACAGCAGTGGAGAGGACGAAGCAGCAGCGGCAGCATGAGCGAGTCTGAGTGTAGTGTGCGTTACTGAGAACGACCTATGTGTTTCCAAACATATAAAACAGGGTGGGGACCAATAAAACTTGAATGAATATCCTGTTTGGATATTATATTAGCTTTAAGGAAAATGTGTTTCTGTTGATGTGCTACACGAGAGGCGTGGTTGTATTTTGTGTTTTTGTTTACCTCCGTATTGCACTCCAGCAATAATTATTATTTTGTTGAAACTTCCTCAGGATTTAGTTCTGCTGTTGTATTGTTTACGCTGTAGCAGGCATGGAGATGCTGGCTTGTTTTTACTGCGTGGAGTAGGTGGTATTATTAGTAAAAGGAAAAGACAGGTGCCTTTGTCTGTGGAATAGTGTGCAATAAGAATATTATATGATTGAAAATGAATAGCACTACAGAAACATACTGCAATTGTATTTAACACTGACAATGAAAAGTAAATGTAGCTAAATAAAATATTCCTTTATTTTTGCAGACATGTTATATATGTATGTATATATGGCAAGTGAATATATTCTGTATATGATGGTAAAATCCCCTTTTTAAATGGCAATAATGGATCATGAAATATGAATCTTACAGTCTGATCTACGCTGTGTCTGTGTAATACTGGTAAAACATCCCAAATAAAATTCTGAATTATATTTATGTTGCTTCAATGACAGCGACTACAACTGAAATAACATTTATTTATAGACTGAAAATGACTGAAACGTTAGTAACTAACCAATATGCAAATGTTATAGCAAAAATTGACTATTCACCATAAAGTCTATACATTTGCCAATTTGCTGTTTCTTCTACGTTGTTCCATCAAAATAAGAAGGCTTCAGGAATCTATGATGGATATTTTACACTATACTACGATTATGAAAACAATTGTCATTTAGCCCTGGCCACAAACCGTCATCCACTGGGCTCAGGCCACCTCTTTGCTTTTACACTAGCGCCATCTATGTTGTCAAAGGAGCTTGCAAAGAAAAGCGTCTGGACTTCTTTAAGTTGCTTGAAGACGTTTCACCTCTCATCCGAGAAGCTTCTTCAGTTCTAAGGTCAAATGGTGGAGAGTCCCAGATATAAACCTAGTGGGAGTAACCCCCCCTTTGACTACGATGACCTGGATGACTGAGAACCTTCACAGCCATCTAGTGTTGTTGTCACGGTCACGCATTTCAAATAAAGACTACTTGAGAATCTTTTAGTCATTAGCAATAAAACTCTCTCTATAAAAACTGTGTTAAACACATATTTCCTGATTAAAACCTAATTTCTTTTTTCTTTTTTTTAAAGATGAATGATTTGCAAATCATCAAAGCCTTTCATTTAAAATTGTACAAAAAAAAAATTCTACAAGTATGCATAAAGCTTAAAATGGCCAATGTATATTAAACTAAATAGATTAACTTACAAAGGTTCAGTAGCTTGGTCTGATATAAACGGAGCGTTTCAAATCTTCCTCCCTGCTTAGTAAAAGAGAACTGTGGGCAGATAGTTTGCTATTTAAGAATACTGTTGCTCAACGCAAAGTTAAAAGAGTTTGAGGATTTCAGTACCAACATTTGTGTGTGGTGTGGGTGTGTGTTTGTGTGTGTGTGTGTGTGTGTGTGTGTGTGTGTAAATGGTAGAGATTGCATCCTCAGTACTAAAAAGAAGAGGAATCATATAATTCTAAATAGGTTTTTTATTTTTTGTTTTATTTATGAAATTTTTTTATTTCATTAAGATACTGCCAAAACACATTCCTTATGTATTACAGCAACATGGCTTTTTAACAAATGGGCGCAGGTTCTACTCTGTCCTGCCTGCAGTCCAGAACTGTCACCCACTGGAAATATTTGGCCTACTGTTACCTGACAAAGCATTCATGAGCTGCAGAGCAAGATCAAGTTATCAAACTACAGCATTGGTCTTCTCAGTTCCCAAAAGCTTGTAGAGTGCTGTTAAAAGAAAACCATGATGCCACATATGGGAAGCATGCTCCTGTTCTCACATTAAAAAATAAATAAATTCAACTATATACACTATATATAGATTACAATATATAGGGGTAAAGATTTACATAACTCGTCCATCTCCTATACCATTTTTGGTTACACTATATATATTGTAATCTAAATGCGTATTTTTAAATGGTTTTTAATGGTCTTTTACGTTGGTTTTTTTGTCACTTTCAACATTTCATGTTATTTTTGTACTTCAAAAATAAAACATTACAAATAAATATTTATGTTTAATAGTTGATGTTCTTATTGAACATGAACAAAGTTTCAAATAATGAAGTCACTGTATGTATAAGTAATCCCTGTGGGTCAAAAATGGCTTCTGATACTTCAGACAGATTCTTTGCTCTAGCACTGTACGTTGTCACTGAGAATGGATATCCCCAATATGGTCATCACAGGCATACAGCTCTGGTTGTGAGCTTATAAGTCCTGCCCACCTGCTGTTTGTGAAGTGACTTTGACTTATAAATCTATTCTCAAGCATAGTAGTTCACATGTAGCTGCGTTTAAAGGCCTTGGTTAACATGTGAACATGTTGAGACAGCGTGAATTACCTTTACACTAATAACATACAGTTTTTCGAAATAATAGTATTAACAATAATACTGATTTTATTAATATAGTAATGAAGGTGAAGGTGGTGATAGAGACAATGATATTGGTGGATTTACCAACAAGTGCAGTTCCTGTAATGACCATATGAGGGTTGTCTCTAAAAGTCAATGAAACTCTAGTATTTTATCAGTCTTAGCTTTAACTGATAGATGTCTGTCTGCATTGCACCATGCAGTTTTCGGGTACATTTTAATAAGGAAGATTGCTAGCTTAATACCTTACATTTAATTCCGTCAATTCAGGCCACACAAATCAAATCTAAACTATTACGTACCCATCTTTTACGTGCAGTCTATAACCTCTGTATGTTGCTAAAATCATAAAGAAATGTAATTTTGGTTTGTGGCCTATGAACTCGGAATGAGTTTGACACTCCTGCCTCGTTGGATCGTACACTATTGGTTCATTTTCCCATCGAAAGCAATATTTCTGACAGCACCTGAAGGCGGCACTAGGCCTGTATTCTCTCTACTTCCTGTAAGGGAAGCTCAGTCAGCTGTCACAATTTGAGGCGAGAAGAGAGGGACCACAGCGGAGGAGAAACACACAACAGCAGCTAAAATGTCTAGTTTTTTCAACAAGTTGAGCGGGTACACGTTGGTTCAGCTCAACGAAATTCTTGAGGACGACGAGAAGCTCACAAAAATGGTACAGGAGATGGACGAGGTATGTAAATCTTTTGTAGTCCAGTGTTAGCTACTGACTCCCCTTTCTCGGCCACTGTGTCTGTGTTTTTTTTCCCTCAAGCCTTTGTTGTGCTTACCCAACACTCGCTGGGTTCAGTTACTGGAAATGGCTGTTTCTGGTCGCGGTGAGGATTTAATGTTGAACGTGTGTTGTCAAGCGAACTTACACGTCTCGTAGCCCAAAACAGGGTTAACAACGGGCCGGAGCATTGTCTTAAGTTTTAACGCTACGGAGTTCCAAGGTTTCGACATAGCTTCTCCACAAACCTTTCGTTTCCCAGATAACAAAGCCTGTCAATCTTTTGTAGTAATCACATGCAAGAGTACGACTTAATCGTTACATTTTGGCTCATATATTGACTGCCTGGCTCTGCTCCAGCAGCACAAGGACTCAGCAGTTTCTTTTCACGGTGTCATAAGTCTGTCTTTCTGATAAGCCCCACTTTCCCCCCCATACGCACAACGATTACAGCCATGCTGCCCAGAATGGTTAAAGCGCAGACAGATATTTGGCATATTAAGACGAAAGGCTAAAAGATTAGCATTTTATACAGGATTTGCCCTTTTGATTATTTCCCTTGCGGCTGCTGCTTCTCTTTCTAAAACAGTCTCTTCCACTGAGGGTTTTAATCTTCCCTTATGTTCTCCTGCTGAATCAGCCCCGCCACCAGGGGCGTTTCCAGGATATTTCAATAGGGGAGCATTGGGGAAAAAATGACCCCAAAACAAGACTCCCCCACCACCACTCCCTCTCCGGGAAGGATGGATAATCAGATTAAAATTTTAAAAAGCGTAGAAAGCAAGTCTAGGTAACATTATTTACGGTTTCTTATGTAAAAGCCACAATCCTACTTAAGTAATGCAAACAAAATTAGCATTAAATATACTTAAAATAGTTAAAGTCAAATTGGTCACCCTTCTTATTCATATACATTTTATTACAAGATCATAATTATTTATTAATTATTGTGAATATGAGTTTAATTTTGGCACTGAATATAATTTTAATTATACTCAGGGTGAATACTCCTGAGTAGCCAATACAGTGTATTATATAAGTAGATTAACTGTACCCCTGCCCACCACAGCTGCTGGAACGTTTTCCCTACCAAGTGCTAAATCCGGAGGAAACACTTCACACCTCTGCTTTTCACCCAACAGCTTGGACCTGACTGTTTATCACAAACAATAAATGCATATTGTCAGGACTTGGGAATTTCTTGTCTGTTGTCATGACGCTGAGGTGTTGTCTAATTTTAGCTTAGTTTTTTTTGCGCAATAATGACTCGCTGCCTGAGAGGTGATGAAAAGCCTCTATTCACAGAGCTGAGAAACTCGAGCACAAGCTTCTGTATATCAACATAATGACAGTTTCAGCTCGACTACAAGACGCAAGACTACAGGCCTTTGGCATTTGGATGAATGCTGAGCTGTGAGTTGGTCTTTTGTGTTGTCGCTCCTGTTTTTCATCCACACCCTGTCTGATTGTCTCTATGGTTTCGTTTTCCCAGTCCCATAGGTTACAGAGAGGGAGGAACAGGAATGACACTGCAGCTGTTGACTTGTGTTAGTCATAAGATTGCAGGAGATATTTAAGCGAATGGGACACTTAACAACATGCCTGAACCACACTTGAAACTGTCTGGGAAGTTTTTTGCTCACAGTACAGTGGATAAGAACAAAGGCAGTAGGTGTCATAAGGCACTGAATGAAACATGAGAGTGCTGAGAGGCACTGTACGCTTTTCTGTAAGAAACAATCTTCTTGTTCTGTAAAAAAAACCCTGGCTGTGTTGGCATTTGAATAATGCAAATAGCCCTTTTGTGAATTTGTTTAGTTTCAGTGCGTCCTGTTTTTGAACGACTAAGAATTGCAGATACGCTTCACTAGGCTGCTAGGATGTTGATTACCCAGTTTTTTTTGATAATTCTCACTGATGTTTCAGCATATTTAGACTTTCTATTATGCTGTCCATTGTGTAAACCAGGAAGTATCACTTCAAGGTCTGTGTGGTTGTGGGTGTAATCAGACATTGACTTGCTTTCTTAATGACACAAATTATACCAATACCAATCCTGTTGATGGTGTTGGTGAAGAGCCAGCTTTCCATTATGCTGTTTGTTTTGAATTAAGATTAATGTGGCTTATCTTTTAAGACCTTCACTAATCCAGGAATTGTGCTGGTGAAGGTTGTAGTCTGTTTTTTGGAGGTGTAATCAAACATTTTCAAGTTTTGATGCCAGTAACATGTCATGGTGTCAGTGAAGACCTAGCAGCTAACTTATGTAGCACGAGCGTCCGTCAAACCTGGAATATCAGAAATTGGTGGGATACAAGGCTATTCTAAAGTAATTAACCATACGATGTAAGGTATTCTCTCCATTACAAGTCAAGGCATTTTATTTATAAGCACATTTAAAAGAAATGCTGACCAAAGAGCCAAAGCTATCTTAAGAATGTATAAAAAGCCCATCTGACAATAATAAATGGACAATTACTCCTTAATTATTGTTTTCAGTGTGCACACAGAATATTTTCTTAAGGTTTTTCTATGTTCTTTTTGGAGAAAAACATCTCACACTACATCATGTGTTGTTTTACCTAAAACATGAAAAATCCATGCCATCTGTATTTACAAATATTATTCAACAATTAGAACACAGCTTATTATAAACTAGTCTTTGCATTCTAGAGCAGTGGCAGGAAACCTCGCGTGTGTGGGACGTGCAGTTTTCCCAAGTCTGGACCACACCGTGTTGGTGATCGCCCATCGGCTCAGCACAGTGGAGAAGGCAGACAACATTATTGTAATTGACAGGGGCCACGTGGCAGAACAGGGATCTCACAGTGAGCTGATGGCCAGCGGCGGACTCTACTCTAAGCTGGTTCAGCGGCAGGTCCTGGGCATCGAGACCGGGGAGGAGGACCTACACTCGCCACAAAACGCCAGCTGCAAGTCAGGTGGAGGACAGCAGTGGAGAGGACGAAGCAGCAGCGGCAGCCTGAGCGAGTCTGAGTGTAGTGTGCGTTACTGAGAACGACCTATGTGTTTCCAAACATATAAAACAGGGTGGGGACCAATAAAACTTGAATGAATATCCTGTTTGGATATTATATTAGCTTTAAGGAAAATGTGTTTCTGTTGATGTGCTACACGAGAGGCGTGGTTGTATTTTGTGTTTTTGTTTACCTCCGTATTGCACTCCAGCAATAATTATTATTTTGTTGAAACTTCCTCAGGATTTAGTTCTGCTGTTGTATTGTTTACGCTGTAGCAGGCATGGAGATGCTGGCTTGTTTTTACTGCGTGGAGTAGGTGGTATTATTAGTAAAAGGAAAAGACAGGTGCCTTTGTCTGTGGAATAGTGTGCAATAAGAATATTATATGATTGAAAATGAATAGCACTACAGAAACATACTGCAATTGTATTTAACACTGACAATGAAAAGTAAATGTAGCTAAATAAAATATTCCTTTATTTTTGCAGACATGTTATATATGTATGTATATATGGCAAGTGAATATATTCTGTATATGATGGTAAAATCCCCTTTTTAAATGGCAATAATGGATCATGAAATATGAATCTTACAGTCTGATCTACGCTGTGTCTGTGTAATACTGGTAAAACATCCCAAATAAAATTCTGAATTATATTTATGTTGCTTCAATGACAGCGACTACAACTGAAATAACATTTATTTATAGACTGAAAATGACTGAAACGTTAGTAACTAACCAATATGCAAATGTTATAGCAAAAATTGACTATTCACCATAAAGTCTATACATTTGCCAATTTGCTGTTTCTTCTACGTTGTTCCATCAAAATAAGAAGGCTTCAGGAATCTATGATGGATATTTTACACTATACTACGATTATGAAAACAATTGTCATTTAGCCCTGGCCACAAACCGTCATCCACTGGGCTCAGGCCACCTCTTTGCTTTTACACTAGCGCCATCTAGTGTTGTCAAAGGAGCTTGCAAAGAAAAGCGTCTGGACTTCTTTAAGTTGCTTGAAGACGTTTCACCTCTCATCCGAGAAGCTTCTTCAGTTCTAAGGTCAAATGGTGGAGAGTCCCAGATATAAACCTAGTGGGAGTAACCCCCCCTTTGACTACGATGACCTGGATGACTGAGAACCTTCACAGCCATCTAGTGTTGTTGTCACGGTCACGCATTTCAAATAAAGACTACTTGAGAATCTTTTAGTCATTAGCAATAAAACTCTCTCTATAAAAACTGTGTTAAACACATATTTCCTGATTAAAACCTAATTTCTTTTTTCTTTTTTTTAAAGATGAATGATTTGCAAATCATCAAAGCCTTTCATTTAAAATTGTACAAAAAAAAAATTCTACAAGTATGCGATAAAGCTTAAAATGGCCAATGTATATTAAACTAAATAGATTAACTTACAAAGGTTCAGTAGCTTGGTCTGATATAAACGGAGCGTTTCAAATCTTCCTCCCTGCTTAGTAAAAGAGAACTGTGGGCAGATAGTTTGCTATTTAAGAATACTGTTGCTCAACGCAAAGTTAAAAGAGTTTGAGGATTTCAGTACCAACAGTTTGTGTGTGTGTGGTGTGTGTTGTGTGTGTGTGTGTGTGTGTGTGTGTGTGTGTAAATGGTAGAGATTGCATCCTCAGTACTAAAAAGAAGAGGAATCATATAATTCTAAATAGGTTTTTTATTTTTTGTTTTATTTATGAAATTTTTTTATTTCATTAAGATACTGCCAAAACACATTCCTTATGTATTACAGCAACATGGCTTTTTAACAAATGGGCGCAGGTTCTACTCTGGCCTGCCTGCAGTCCAGAACTGTCACCCACTGGAAATATTTGGCCTACTGTTACCTGACAAAGCATTCATGAGCTGCAGAGCAAGATCAAGTTATCAAACTACAGCATTGGTCTTCTCAGTTCCCAAAAGCTTGTAGAGTGCTGTTAAAAGAAAACCATGATGCCACATATGGGAAGCATGCTCCTGTTCTCACATTAAAAAATAAATAAATTCAACTATATACACTATATATAGATTACAATATATAGGGGTAAAGATTTACATAACTCGTCCATCTCCTATACCATTTTTGGTTACACTATATATATTGTAATCTAAATGCGTATTTTTAAATGGTTTTTAATGGTCTTTTACGTTGGTTTTTTTGTCACTTTCAACATTTCATGTTATTTTTGTACTTCAAAAATAAAACATTACAAATAAATATTTATGTTTAATAGTTGATGTTCTTATTGAACATGAACAAAGTTTCAAATAATGAAGTCACTGTATGTATAAGTAATCCCTGTGGGTCAAAAATGGCTTCTGATACTTCAGACAGATTCTTTGCTCTAGCACTGTACGTTGTCACTGAGAATGGATATCCCCAATATGGTCATCACAGGCATACAGCTCTGGTTGTGAGCTTATAAGTCCTGCCCACCTGCTGTTTGTGAAGTGACTTTGACTTATAAATCTATTCTCAAGCATAGTAGTTCACATGTAGCTGCGTTTAAAGGCCTTGGTTAACATGTGAACATGTTGAGACAGCGTGAATTACCTTTACACTAATAACATACAGTTTTTCGAAATAATAGTATTAACAATAATACTGATTTTATTAATATAGTAATGAAGGTGAAGGTGGTGATAGAGACAATGATATTGGTGGATTTACCAACAAGTGCAGTTCCTGTAATGACCATATGAGGGTTGTCTCTAAAAGTCAATGAAACTCTAGTATTTTATCAGTCTTAGCTTTAACTGATAGATGTCTGTCTGCATTGCACCATGCAGTTTTCGGGTACATTTTAATAAGGAAGATTGCTAGCTTAATACCTTACATTTAATTCCGTCAATTCAGGCCACACAAATCAAATCTAAACTATTACGTACCCATCTTTTACGTGCAGTCTATAACCTCTGTATGTTGCTAAAATCATAAAGAAATGTAATTTTGGTTTGTGGCCTATGAACTCGGAATGAGTTTGACACTCCTGCCTCGTTGGATCGTACACTATTGGTTCATTTTCCCATCGAAAGCAATATTTCTGACAGCACCTGAAGGCGGCACTAGGCCTGTATTCTCTCTACTTCCTGTAAGGGAAGCTCAGTCAGCTGTCACAATTTGAGGCGAGAAGAGAGGGACCACAGCGGAGGAGAAACACACAACAGCAGCTAAAATGTCTAGTTTTTTCAACAAGTTGAGCGGGTACACGTTGGTTCAGCTCAACGAAATTCTTGAGGACGACGAGAAGCTCACAAAAATGGTACAGGAGATGGACGAGGTATGTAAATCTTTTGTAGTCCAGTGTTAGCTACTGACTCCCCTTTCTCGGCCACTGTGTCTGTGTTTTTTTTCCCTCAAGCCTTTGTTGTGCTTACCCAACACTCGCTGGGTTCAGTTACTGGAAATGGCTGTTTCTGGTCGCGGTGAGGATTTAATGTTGAACGTGTGTTGTCAAGCGAACTTACACGTCTCGTAGCCCAAAACAGGGTTAACAACGGGCCGGAGCATTGTCTTAAGTTTTAACGCTACGGAGTTCCAAGGTTTCGACATAGCTTCTCCACAAACCTTTCGTTTCCCAGATAACAAAGCCTGTCAATCTTTTGTCGTAATCACATGCAAGAGTACGACTTAATCGTTACATTTTGGCTCATATATTGACTGCCTGGCTCTGCTCCAGCAGCACAAGGACTCAGCAGTTTCTTTTCACGGTGTCATAAGTCTGTCTTTCTGATAAGCCCCACTTTCCCCCCCATACGCACAACGATTACAGCCATGCTGCCCAGAATGGTTAAAGCGCAGACAGATATTTGGCATATTAAGACGAAAGGCTAAAAGATTAGCATTTTATACAGGATTTGCCCTTTTGATTATTTCCCTTGCGGCTGCTGCTTCTCTTTCTAAAACAGTCTCTTCCACTGAGGGTTTTAATCTTCCCTTATGTTCTCCTGCTGAATCAGCCCCGCCACCAGGGGCGTTTCCAGGATATTTCAATAGGGGAGCATTGGGGAAAAAATGACCCCAAAACAAGACTCCCCCACCACCACTCCCTCTCCGGGAAGGATGGATAATCAGATTAAAATTTTAAAAAGCGTAGAAAGCAAGTCTAGGTAACATTATTTACGGTTTCTTATGTAAAAGCCACAATCCTACTTAAGTAATGCAAACAAAATTAGCATTAAATATACTTAAAATAGTTAAAGTCAAATTGGTCACCCTTCTTATTCATATACATTTTATTACAAGATCATAATTATTTATTAATTATTGTGAATATGAGTTTAATTTTGGCACTGAATATAATTTTAATTATACTCAGGGTGAATACTCCTGAGTAGCCAATACAGTGTATTATATAAGTAGATTAACTGTACCCCTGCCCACCACAGCTGCTGGAACGTTTTCCCTACCAAGTGCTAAATCCAGAGGAAACACTTCACACCTCTGCTTTTCACCCAACAGCTTGGACCTGACTGTTTATCACAAACATTAAATGCATATTGTCAGGACTTGGGAATTTCTTGTCTGTTGTCATGACGCTGAGGTGTTGTCTAATTTTAGCTTAGTTTTTTTTGCGCAATAATGACTCGCTGCCTGAGAGGTGATGAAAAGCCTCTATTCACAGAGCTGAGAAACTCGAGCACAAGCTTCTGTATATCAACATAATGACAGTTTCAGCTCGACTACAAGACGCAAGACTACAGGCCTTTGGCATTTGGATGAATGCTGAGCTGTGAGTTGGTCTTTTGTGTTGTCGCTCCTGTTTTTCATCCACACCCTGTCTGATTGTCTCTATGGTTTCGTTTTCCCAGTCCCATAGGTTACAGAGAGGGAGGAACAGGAATGACACTGCAGCTGTTGACTTGTGTTAGTCATAAGATTGCAGGAGATATTTAAGCGAATGGGACACTTAACAACATGCCTGAACCACACTTGAAACTGTCTGGGAAGTTTTTTGCTCACAGTACAGTGGATAAGAACAAAGGCAGTAGGTGTCATAAGGCACTGAATGAAACATGAGAGTGCTGAGAGGCACTGTACGCTTTTCTGTAAGAAACAATCTTCTTGTTCTGTAAAAAAAACCCTGGCTGTGTTGGCATTTGAATAATGCAAATAGCCCTTTTGTGAATTTGTTTAGTTTCAGTGCGTCCTGTTTTTGAACGACTAAGAATTGCAGATACGCTTCACTAGGCTGCTAGGATGTTGATTACCCAGTTTTTTTTGATAATTCTCACTGATGTTTCAGCATATTTAGACTTTCTATTATGCTGTCCATTGTGTAAACCAGGAAGTATCACTTCAAGGTCTGTGTGGTTGTGGGTGTAATCAGACATTGACTTGCTTTCTTAATGACACAAATTATACCAATACCAATCCTGTTGATGGTGTTGGTGAAGAGCCAGCTTTCCATTATGCTGTTTGTTTTGAATTAAGATTAATGTGGCTTATCTTTTAAGACCTTCACTAATCCAGGAATTGTGCTGGTGAAGGTTGTAGTCTGTTATTTGGAGGTGTAATCAAACATTTTCAAGTTTTGATGCCAGTAACATGTCATGGTGTCAGTGAAGACCTAGCAGCTAACTTATGTAGCACGAGCGTCCGTCAAACCTGGAATATCAGAAATTGGTGGGATACAAGGCT